CTGCATTGGCAACTGCAAAGTAATCTGTGAATAGCTGCATTGGCAACATCTGCATTTTGTGCAGCAAAGTTCGTTTTCCACAAAACCACCTTAAAGGGGAAATAAATAAATTGCACCTTCAGTAGTGAGGTGCTTTGTCTATGTAACCAGACAAAAATTAAATGCCAAGACCTTCATACAATTTTAGTATCCAAATTATTCTCAAGATCATAATTCAAGCATAAATGAATCTTAGCTCAGAATCACCCATTTCAAGCAATGAAGTATTAAATCAAAGGGTTCTGTACAGGATCCACCAAAGCAGTCATGGTTAGGAGGTAAAAGGTGGATAAAAATTTGAATCAATATATCAGAGACAAAGTTCTAAGCTAGGCTTGCATTTAGGCATTAGTACTTCTACAATTACAAAAAGTTACAAAGTGCTTACAGCACAGGAGAAGACTGGCCCAATTAATCCATGTCTACGTTATGCTCCAACCAAGCCTCTTTGCTTCATCCTTCTTAAAATAACCATTATTACCATTTCCTTCTATTCACTTCATAATCTTACATTTTTCAAACTTTCCCTTAAAAGCATCCACATTATTTCCCTCAACAACTACTTGTGGCACATGATGCATATTCTCTGTTGAATTCCTAACTGTATGCACTAGTAACTTGTATTGATGGCCCCAGTTCTGCTCTCGCCTGCAGGTGGAAATACCTTCTCGATATGTACCTATCAAATCATTTCATAATCTTAAAGACCTCTACCAGGTCATCCCTGACAACAAGGTGTAGAGCTGGATGAACACAGCAGGCCAAGCAGCATCAGAGGAGCAGGAAGGCTGACGTTTCGGGCCTAGACCCTTCCTCTTCTCTTTTCTAGAAGTCTGTCCCGCTTTCTTTAATCATTTCCAAACAGACAATCTCTCAGGTCTGGTGTCATTCCAGTAAACTGTTTTCACACCTCTCAGCCGCTAAATGATTTTTACATCACATCAGAACTGTTCAGTCCTCCAGGGGTGCTCTATGTTTAGCACAACATCTGCTTTCAATTTTAATACCCCCCCAGCAATTAGCCCCTTTGTTCAGTGAGATGGTGAAGGCTTTTTTTTTGGAAATTAAATATGAAATTCCCTATTGAAGACCTTCTGTAAATCCAAATCTACCACTTCAATGTACTATCCTCATCTATCTTGTACTCCTCAAAGAATTTAAAAAGAACTTGGCAAACATGATTTTTCCTCTTAAAATCGACACCACAATTCTATTATAGAACAAAAGAACTACAGATGCTGGAGATCTGAAACAAAAACAGAAATTGATGTCGCTATTCTGCAGATCTGACAGCATCTGTAGGGAGAAAGTAGAGTTAACGTTTCAAGTCCAGTGACTCTTCATCAGAGCCGAAGAGTTCTGATGCTTATAGTGCCAGACCTGCTGAGTTTCATCAGCAATTCCTGTTTATTATCTCAATTCTGTAATTCATTATGCTAAGCGTCTTAAGTCTATTTGGGGAGTGTGTAACACTCGAGTGCAACGCAGAGCGATGGTGATACAGTGGTGAGCATAGCTGCCTTGAAGACCTGGTTTGATTTCCGGCCATCGCAAGCTTACGGCTTTAAATCGAACAGAAAAAACCCAAAGCCAAATGAATTGTATCGGTCGTTGACTTGCCCTGAAAATACACCAAGGTTTCATTCTTTGAGAGACACATCCATCAAATTGTTCCGATTTTCCTCTTGTTATTGATTTGCCTGTAGAAAATTTTGCCTACTTTTATAAATATTCCTTTGTTACAGTTGTATCACATGTCCATTTGGTAAAATGGATATTTTATTTTTAATGGAATGTGGACAATTTACTTTGATAAAGTTGAGTTAAGGACCAGGTGACTTTGTTTGAGCTTTCTATATAGAGAGGGACTGTTGCATGTCTGCCTGTGGAACATTATGAAATGCAAATGATCTTTTGGAGGATCTTCCAGTGAAGACACAAGGATGCAGGAGATCACTTGTGCAACTAATGGTTACGATTGTCAGGATTTTTACAGAAACTCAATACAATGTTCATTTCAAGTCTAGGGTAACCAAAATGTGAAGGAACCACTTTATCACAAGGAGGTGCAAAGGACAATAATTTATTCTCCCATTATTTCAATAGTTCATGGTATCAAATCATTAATGAGACTACTGATGTGGTCACAAGGCAGTTAGCAAAGATCTTACTGTTCTAAGAACAGCATGGATAGACTACCTGGGAAGAGATCTTGACCAGAAATCAGAAAAGGCCCTGTCTTGGGAAAAAACTGAGATTTGTCTTGCTCCAGCAAATCATCATTTTGACTACAGGGGGCTGATAACAGCTCTCAATGATTAAATTCCAGAAATGTGCATTTCTTCAAGTACCACTGTGGGTTCATCATCATAGAATCTCAACCTCCTCTTTTCCTTCATTGAACTGAAAAGAGAAATTTTAGGCCTGTCATATCTGTGATGATGTTCTTAGATTACTTAAAGTCCATGTTTCATTAAGTGTACACTGCATCTTTACAAAATTGTGAGAGAGAGACATGAAAGAGCGGAGTAGGTGCTAGTTGCAACTGCAATTCATATGTCGTTAACAATAAACATTTATTCTTTCTTTTGATCCAAACTTACAAATGTTGTGCATTTAATCTTTAAAGGCACCGCACCCAGTGGTTAAAACAGTGGTTAATCTCAGACATGCATCTTTGTGCAGTCAGTCAAGAGGTGGGAAAAAGGCATAAATAATCCTACATCTCTCCCTTCTCCACAACATCTTAGAAATGTATTTTTCTAGCCTATCTTCCCAATTTATTTATCCTGACTTCTTTTCTAAGCTTTATGTGTAGTATTTTGCCATCCTTTGCTTGTGTATCTGGTTAGTTAATGCAATTTTCTTTGGTTTCAGCGTCTCTGTTGAGTTGATTAAACTACGGCATAACATCAATTAATTGCTTCCTCTAAATGTGATACATTTCTCCATTACACTACTAACACAATTTTAAATGCTTCACATACTGTTGTTCTCATTACACATCTAAACAAATTTTCTAGTTCATTTTTCATGATTTCATTCTCATTCTTTTAAAATGAGCATTTTTCCAAAGCATCACTTTGGCCTCACATTACTCATGTCCGTTTCAATCTTGACTTTCAACTCAATTATGCTATGATGGTTGTTGCCTGGACATTCTCCTATTCTTATCTGTTTTGGTTCATTTTTCATTACCAAATCCATCAGTACTCTCATTTATCGGGCTAGTAATATACTGGACAAGAAAATTAGACTTGCAGCCTGTTGAAAACTGAATTTTCCATGCCCCTCAACCTTCCAATTTATTCAACGTTAGTTAAACTTTCACAATTATTATTCTATTTTACATATTTTAGCGGCAGAGTACCAGAGGCAACAGGATTTTGTTAAAAGTAATTTTTTGACCCATCCTTCAAACAAAATAAAAGGTAAACTCTGAAGTATGCTTTGTAAGACATCCTCTGCAGGCTTTTATTCTTATTTGTTCCTCCACTTGTGTAATAATTATTACACATGTTCAGCTCTTAATGGATCAAACAGAACAGAGCTACGTCCTATATATTAAAGCAAGGGAATTGGAAGGAAGATGTTTAGAAGACTGTGTGGAAGATTAAGAACCTACTGAGGAAATATTTCTTAGTACTATTTTAAATGTTTAAAAGTTGGGAGTTGAACTGGAAGAAGCCCAAGTTACCTGAAGTTTGCCTGCAGCACAGATAATGATAACAAGAAGAATGCTACTTACTCATGATTCATTTAAAGACATGTTATAATGAGATTTAAAATAGTTTCAAAATATTTACCTAGGATAAGGGAATTGTTATTTGATCTAATTGGTTATAAATATCCACAATTAAAATTTTGCAGTAAGACAAGTATCAAGTTGTTTTCCACATTGACCCACGAATCCATTAATTAGTCGAATGATTAAATGTGCGAGTATTTCAAGTAAAAATTAACTAGAAACACATTAAAATGCCAGGCATCATTTGCTGCCAGTAATCAACTTTTAAAACTATTTTAGCTGCACAGTACCAGAGGCAACAGGATTTTGTTACATAGATTTTTTGACCCATCCTTCAAACATCTTACCAAAAAAGGTCAAAGTAAAAGGCAAAGCTCTAAAGTGTGCTTTGCAAGGCATCCTTCAGCCTTTTATCTGTAGTTTTTCCATATAAGCTACTTCCTATGGATTCCTCAAAAGCCAAGAGTTGAATTCACAGCAAAAGCCACACCATACAGGGGCAGATCACAAGTGGGCACCCAAGCAGTCATCTAATTAGATAAAAAACCTTGACTACACAGCAGAGAGTTCAATAAAGGAACTCCCCCACAACGGTATCAAATTTTGATGTTACCCACCAAACTTAAATTACTAGCAGTTTAACCTGAATATTCCAACGGCACAATCAAGGTAACAATTGATATACAGCAACACTTGAAAAACAAGCTTTACAAATTAATTTTTCAATTGACCAAAGCAGCTCACTGTTCATAAACTTCAAAAACTTGATTTTCATGAAGTACTCTAAGTGATAAAAGTACTTTCTCTGGAGAGAGAACCTTTTTCTTACTTCCTTTTAAAGCAAGTTATTGAAAAACAGTTTTGTCGTAGAACAGTGTGATTTTATGCACATAGTTACCACATCCAGGTACCAGTAGTTCTCCTATAATGTGATAGTTGTGTTCTTATGTAACCTCGCGCTGTAGAAAAATCGCATTATCAAAAAAATCGCCATTAGAAATCGCATTATTGGGAAATCGCTATACCTGTACAGCAGAAAATTCACATTATCCAAACAGCGTCCACTATTCATCAATCACGTTACAGCCAATTTGTGTCAACGAAACATCTTCTAGCAGAACGACCCATATTCCAGTTCTGAGGAAGGGTCATCAGACCTGAAACGTTAACTCTGATTTTTCTTCACAGATGCTGCCAGACCTAAGCTTTTCCAGGAACTTCTGTTTTTGTTTCAGATTTACAGCATCCACAGTTCTTTCGGTTTTTACTCCATTCAGATGTCGGGCAAGACAGTTGTTCTTCTGCTTTTTGCTCAATCAGTTGCTCTCAAAAGGTACATCTAAATCTAACACTTGGAAATCATCCTCTCAACCTCAAATGAATGTTTAATGTTTAATTGGTTTCTCGAGAAAATGCATGCCACCACACATTTCCAAAAAACAATTATTTTGCATGTTTAGACTATTTTTCTTCTCACCTCAAAGTCAATGAGTTGTAAATCTGCTATCAAAGTGCTGAGGAGGCCACTGTTGTACAGCTCCTGAGCAAGCTGTGCCACTGTTTCAGTCTGGGGTTCCTTCTCATTTGTACCATACAAGATTTCCTTCATTGCTACTAGATTCTTTGACACTTCTTCTGTGGCCTGGACGAAAAAAGAGAGACATGTTTAGGAAGCAGGTGCTCTAGTACAAACAAATTCACTAAGGTATAAAAGTCAGTAAAGCTCAAGGGAATGGCATGCATCTTAAGTATTTACACCACCAGTTGCCTTTAAGGTCTGAGATTCCCCTTGAGTCATTCTGCTGGTTTAAAAACATATTGAAACAGAGTTTCTGGTCAGACAGTAAAGCACTGTTTACCATTTCCAGCAATTAGCAAGAAGTTAATTGTGTTCTACTACACTGAACAGGAAGTTAGGAGTTTGGATCTGCAATGTAGTAAAAAGTGAATCCTTTATTTGCCAGGTCAACAGCAAGACAAACAAAACAAGGAGCCCCTTATACAAGGTAGAAGTAGGAAAAAAAAATCTAGTTCTGTTGAATTAACTCCATGCAACATTAAGAACAAACCACTGATCCATGTGATCTTAACTGCTGATCTTAACTTTGAAAATGACATCAGTGATAAAAACACAAAAATTGTTTTCAGATACTCACTGAAGATTTAAAAAGAACAACCTAACTTGTCAATTCCTGATGGATGACTGCACGACTTGGTAGTGCAGTTAAAAATTGTTTCCCAGACAGGATGTCATGAAGAATGGCTTCACACGAGTAGGGAAGGGAAATTTGGAACACTCACCTTTTGAGGTTTGGGAGGGGGATCCTTTTAAAGTTAGAAAACTGAAATTTATAGATTGTTTGGAATGATAAAGAAATCAAGGTGGGGAAATTGTACTAAGATGTAGACCACTAGCCTGAATGGTTTCTTGTTTCTACATTCAGAGCAAAAAAAATGATTTGCTGAAATGAAACTGGAAAGCAACCACAATGAGACAGTGGGGTACTCACATTTCAAATCAGCCACTGTCTTATTGAATTTTGTAGCAGGTTCAAGGGCTAAATGGCCTAATCCGACTCTTAATTTCTACATTCATTTGCAGAAGAAGGGAGACTAACTTGAGAATGTTGGGAAAAGCTGGAGAGTAAAAGTGGGAGTGTCCGACAAAGGAACTGGAAATTCAGATTATCAAACATTTGTCATGCATTGGCTATAAACCACTGTACAACACTTGCACTAGCCAGCCAGTGGCACACGTTTTGGAAAATACTTCTCACGGTTTGAAACGGCATTGGAAGACAAGGAATTAAAAAATCTGTCATATATATTCCAATAAATACCTGTAACTCTGAAATTAATCGATTAGTCTGGCAAATCTTCTTTGATCTGCTTCGAATGTATTTATACCCTTCCTTAAATAAGGAGGCCACTATGCTCCAGATATGGTCTCATTAGTCCTGAAGAAGGGTTTCAGCCCAAAACTTTAGCTTACCTGCACCTCGGATGCTGTCTGACCTGCTGTGCTTTCCCAGCCTCACACCTATAGGTAAGTGATGAAGCCATAGTCTAAGTAAAACATAAACTCCCTCCTTTTCTATTAAATTCCCTTCATAATAAATGACAACATTGTTAGATTTCTTAATATCTATACTGTACCTGCATACAGCCTTTTCCGATTCATGCACTAGGACACCAAGACCTTTTGCATCTCAGAATTCTGCAATGTCTCACCATTCAGATAATGTTTCTTTTTTATTCTTCTTGTCAAGATGGACAATTTCACATTTTCCACATTATTCTCCATTTGCCAGACCTTTGCCCACGCATTTAACCTGCTTCAGTCTCATAGCTACCAGGGAAAGGAATGGTACCAGTAGCTAGAGAATGGCATTTGTGGCAGGTACTAAAGACATTGGCTTTGATCTTTATTTGACAATACTTGACTAAATTTCTGCTCATTCAGTACTGGATGCCAGACAAACAATGTCACCATTTAAAGATAGTAGAGATATTTAATGTGGTAATGGTGAGTTACAGTTAGATGTCATTGATGTACACAGGAAAAATAGATTTAGCATTTGCAGATTACATCAAAAAGCAGCATAAAAATAAGAAATAGGAGGGGGCCAAGAATAGATCCTTGGGGAGACATCAGGGGTAATGATGGGAAAATGGGACAAGCAGCTATTACAGGCAGAAAACAGTTCTACTGGTCATACTGTCAAATGACCAGATGCAGTTGTTTTTTTCCCCACAGCTACAAAATAAAGCACAACGGATTCCAGGCAAACTTAAATTTTTAGTCAGTTATATAAAAGACAGACCCCAGGAATTTACCATCTCTGTACATGCATCCTTTTCTTCATTGCATTAACCAACAGCACCTTATGGTAAACTATTTGTCCATGTAGAAAAAAAAAACTCATTAAAAAAGATTTAAATGTTAGTTACCAAATGATTAGATTAATAAATGTGCAAGTGATTCAATATCATACAGCAGAGATGTGTCATGCACCACTATGGAAAGTCAAAATTGTGGCAAAAATCCTATTAACTGATGAAACAACAGTTTTGTTCAGACCCTCATGCCAAATTGCAACCATGCCATTTTGGTAATGGTAGAAACAGAGCAAATAGGTGGTGTAGGCCTTTCAGCCCATCAAGCCTGCTCAGTCATTCAAGGTGATCACAGCTGATCCTCTACTTCAATGACACATTCCCGTCTTTCCCCGTTCTATTCCACACTTTTCGTGTTTAAAAATCCACTTTTCTAAATATATTCAATAACCAGACCCTCACAGTCTTGAACCTGTGAAATTCTGTACTGTTTAACACCAAGTAAAGAAATTTCATTTCATCTCAGTCCTACATGGCCTGTCTTGTATCCTGAGACTGTGACCCTTTATTCTAGACACGCCAGAAGAATCAGCACCCCTGCATCCAATCTGTCCTGCCCTATCAGAACTTTGTACATTTCAAATGAGATCCCCCTCATTTTTCTAACCACCAGTGAATACAGACCAAGTCGACCCAATCTCTCCTCATACAACAATCCTGCCATCCCAGCAGTCAGTCTGATGAACCTTTGCTGCTCTCCCTCCATGGCATGTATATCTTTAGGCAAAGAGACCAAGAACATTTTCTTGGCATCAACAGATTTGTCACCAACATGAAAATCATCCACAGAATAGGAAGATAATAGATGAAGTTGCTGACTGGAGATACTAAGACCTGAACACACTGAATACACAAAAAGTTCTATCAATCCAAGTGAGCTGTACTTTACAAATTTCAAAGTTCATCTTATTGGTTTTGAAAGGCAAATGTCACTACCTGTATCAGCTGTGGCAGAATGCTCATTCGAGAAGTTGAATAGAAATCACCCTTTGGTTAGAGATCAAAGCATATGTAGAGTGATGGTTCTCAAAGGTGATGTTGGTCAACATCTTGCCCAAACTACTTCCGACATGAACCATACATATTAAAATTGTCATTAAACATTTCCTGGTATCCCAGACTGTAGAGGGTTTTCTTTCCTGTTACTGTTTTGCATGGCCAATTCCGTCCTTTTTCTTTTCTATTCTTCTCTCCCAACTGCCTTTTGCCCTTGCTGTACTTTGACCTAAGTAATCACTACCTTCTATTTGTCAAATACTACATTTGGTGTCGAGCAAGATTTCTTTCATTATAAAACATGCTTTTGAGATTTAGCATACATTGGAGGAAGATTCAATAATAATAGTCAACATTGCATTGGATAAATATTATGAAGAAAGAAATTTACAGCGTTATCAGGGAAAGAGGAGAGGAATACACAGCACTTATACAAATAGCAGCACAGCAAGTGCAAATAATGATCAAGGAGTAATAGTATGGAATAATACAAAGAAGATTGGGTGGTGAGCATTACCTTTTGCAGTAGGGTAATGGTTTAAACGAAGAGCTGGGAAACTATAACTTTACAAAATCATTAACAAGCTAGGCAAACTGGTCACTAAAAGTAGCATCTTCTCATGACTTAAAGACACAAGGACATGTGCTGATGATTCTTGACTCAGGTCAGTAAATAGAATCAGTATAGGTGGAAATAACAAAAGGCAGAAAAATACAGGCAGTGCAGCTCACAAGTAGCAATTGAACAAACTATCCATTAAATAGGAAGAAAAGCTTTAACATGTTCTGAAAAAGGGCCATTCAATTCAAAAACATGAACTGTTTCTCTTTTAAGTGCTGCTAAATGTGCTGCATTTTCCAGAAATTTCTGTTTTTTGTTTCAGATTCAGACATCTGCAGCTCATTGGTCAAATATGATAAAACAATCCATTGCAGTTGTTTGAGGAGGTAACTATGCTGTGGATAGAGGGTAACTTGGTTCATATACTGTACTTAGAGATCAAGAAAGCTTTTGATAAAGTGTCACATCAAAGGTTACTGTGGAAAATAAAAGCTCAAGGTGTAGGGGATAGCATATAGAATATAGATGCGGATAGAAGATTAGCTGGCTAACAAACAGACAGTAAGTGTAAATGGATCTCTTTCAGGTCGCCAAGTCGTGCACCACAGGCATGGACCTGGTGCTGGACGTAAACCGTTTAACATTTATATGAATGACTTGAAGAGATGGAAAGTATGGTTGACAAACCTGCTGACAAAACACAAACAAACAGGAAAGTAAATTGGGAAGAGGGGACAAGGAGGTTACACAAAGATATTAATAGCTTAAGCGAGTGGGCAAAGCTGTGGCAAAAGAGAGTATAATGAGGAAAGTTATGAAGTTGTCTATTTAGGCAAGAATAATAAAAGCAAATTATCCAAAATGGTGAGGAATTATGGAGCTCTGAAATGCAGAGGGATTTCACGTCCTTGCTTGTGAATCATCAAATATTAGTATTCAGGTATGGCACATATTTGGGAAAAGATGTTATCATGCATCATGAGTAGAATTCAATATAAAAAGAACTTTATGCTTCAATTATACAGGGTACTAGTGAGACCGCATTTTGAGAACTGTGCACACAGTACTGGTCAGCTTATTTAAAAGGAAGGATATAAATGCATTTGAGGCAGTTCAGAGAATGTTACTAGACTAACACGTGCAATGCGCAAGTTGCCTCATGAGGATACATTGGAGAAGCTAAGCTT